GTGATCCAATTTCATTTTTTTTTTCACATAGCTGTCCAGCTATCCCAACACCATTTGTTGAAGAGGCTATTTTACTCCATTTTATGCTGCTGCCCACTTTGTGAAATATTAATTGACCATAGAGACTTGGGTTTATTTCTGGGCGCTCTCTTCTCTTCCATTGGTCTATGTGCCTGTTTTTATGCCAGTACCAGGCTGTTTTGTTTACAGTGGCCTTGTAATACAGTTTGGTATCAGGTATTGTGATCCCTCCTACTTGTTCTTCTTTCTCAAAATTGCAGAGCTATTCGGGGTCATTTATGGGTCCATATGAATTTTTGAAGTGTTTGGTCTATGTGAAATATGCCATTGGTACTTCAATAGGTAGTGCATTGAATCTGTAAATTGCTTTGGGCAGTATGGACATTTTGATGATGTTAATTCTTCCGATCCATGAACACAGTATATGTTTCCATTTGTGTCTTCCTTGAATCCTACATCTTTGGTTAGGTTTATTCCTAGGTATTTTATTTTTCTTTTTGCTATATTGAATGGGATTTTTTTTCTTGATTTCTGCTTCTGCTGTTTCATTGTTGGTATACAAAAATGCCTTTGATTTCTGTATATTGACTTTGTATCCTGCTGTTTTGCCAAATGCATTTATTAGGTTGAGCAATTTTTTGGAGTCTATAGGATTTTTTTATGTACACTATCATGTCATCTGCAAACAATGACAGTTTTGTTTCCTCCTTTCCGATTTGGATGCCTTTTATTTCCTTTTCTTGTCTGATTGCTGTGGCTAAAAATTCCAATACTATATTGAATAGAAGTGGTGAAAGTGGACAACCTTGTCTTGTTCCTGATCTTAGTGGAAAAGATTTGCTTTTGCCCATTATGATGTTGACTGTAGGTTTCTCATATATGGCCTTTATTATATTGAGGAATGCTCCCTCTATTCCCACTTTGCTGAGTGTTTTAATCATAAATGGGTGCTGTACCTTATCAAATGCTTTTTCTGCATCTATTGATATAATCATGTGATTTTTGTCTTTTCTTTTATGTGATGTATTACATTCATTGATTTGCAAATATCATACCATCTTTGCATCTCTGGGATGAATCTCACTTGGTCATGGTGTATGATTTTTTTAATGTATTGCTGGATGTGGTTTGCCCATATTTTGTTGAGGATTTTAGCATCTGTGTTCAGTGATATTGGCCTATAGTGTTCTTTCTTTGTTGTGTCTTTATGTGGTTTTGGGATTAGGATGATGCTGACTTCATAAAGAGTTTGGGAGTCTTCTGTCTTATTGAATTTTTTTGAATAGTCTGTGAAGTGTAGGGTTAGCTCTTTCTTAAAAGTTTTGTAAAATTCTCCTGTGAAACAGTCTGGTCCAGGGCTTTTGTGTGACAGGAGTTTTTTTTATTACAGCTTCAATTTCATTTGCTGTTATTGATCTAGTCAGGCTTTCTGCTTCTTCATTCAGTTTTGGAAGATTACATTTTTTTAGAAATGTGTCCATTTCACCTAGGCTTTCTAATTCCTTGGCATACAGTTCTTCATAATAATTTCTTACAATGCTTTGTATTTCTGTGGTATCAGTTGTAGTCTCTCCTCTTTTATTTCTGATTGTGTTTATTTGGGTCCTCTCTTTTTTTCTTTTTTCTTTTTTTTTAACTTTTTTTTTTAATTGATTATGCCATTACATTTGCTCTATTCCCCCCCTCCCTTCCCCTCCACCCTGCATACCCCTCCCCCACCCTTTCCCCCCTTAGTTCATGAACATGTGTCTCAAATTCTTTAGATTCTGTATTTCCCCTACTATTCTTTCCCCCCCCCCCTATGTATTTTCTATCTACTGTCTATGCTACTTATTTTCTGTACCTTCTCCCCCCCTTCCCCTCCTCCCACTCCCCTGTTGCTAACCCTCCCTGAGATCTTCATTTCTATGGTTCTGCTCCTGATCTAGCTATCCTCTTAGTTTGCTTTTGTTTTAGGTGTGGTTCTTAATAACTGTGAGTTTGCTGTCCTTTCACTGTTCATCTTTTTTATCTTCTTTTTCTTAGGTAAGTCCCTTTAACATTTCATATAATAAGGGCTTGGTGATGATGAACTCCTTGAATTTGGTCTTATCTGAGAAGCACTTTATCTGTCCTTCCATTCTAAATGAAAGTTTTGCTGGGTAGAGCAATCTCGGTTGTAGATCTTTGGTTTTCATGACTTGGAATACCTCTTTCCAGCCCCTTCTTGCCTCTAAGGTCTCTTTTGAGAAATCAGCTGACAGTCTGATGGGAACTCCTTTGTAGGTGACTGTCCCCTTAGCTCTTGCTGCTTCTAGGATTCTCTCCTTCATTTTAATCTTGGCTAATGTAATTATGATGTGCCTTGGTGTGTTCCTTCTTGAGTCCAACTTCTTTGGGACTCTCTGAGCTTCCTGGATTTCTCGGAAGTCTATTTCCTTTGCCATCTTGGGGAAATTCTCCTTTATTATTTGTTCAAATAATTTTTCAACTGGTGGTTGTGCCTTTCCCCCTTCTGGTACCCCTATAATTCGGATGTTGGAACGTTTAAAGATGTCCTGGAGGTTCCTAAGCTTCTCCTCATTTTTCTGAATTCTTATTTCTTCATTCCTTTCTGTTTGATCATTTTTTTCTTCCTTCTGGTTCTCTCCCTTGATTTGAGTCCCAATTTTCTTTCCATTACTATTGGTATCTTTTGTATCCCCATTCATTTCAATTAATTTAGCTTCCATATGTTTCTCTAATTTGTGACTAAAGTCAACCAGTTCTGTAAGGATCCTTATAACCAGTGTTTTGAACTGTGCATCTGAAAGACTGGCTATTTCTTCATCACTTAGGTCTATCGGTTCTGGGGCTCTGAGTTGTCCTAGAGCCATTTTTGGTCTTTCTGCGGCGCCTCCTCGACCACGCGGCGCGCGCGCGGCGCCGCGCTTTTTTTCTTGATGAGTCTGCTTAAAGGCTTGGCAATTCTGTTTATCTTTTCAAGGAACCAGCTCCTGGATTCATTGATCCTTAGAATTGTGCTTTTAGTCTCTGTGTCATTTAATTCTGCTCTGATCTTGGTTATTTCCTTCCTTCTACTTGCTCTGGGCTGTCTTAGTTGTTGTTCCTCCAGTTCTTATAGGTGTAGGGGTAGGGTGTTTTGAGATGTTTCTATCTTTTTTAGGTAGGCCTGTATTACTATGAACTTCCCTCTCAGGACTGCCTTCGCTGTGTCCCATAAAATTTGAGTTGTTGTGAGTTCATTTTCATTTGTTTCCAGAAACTAAAAAAAAATTTATTTTTTAGAGGGGACGGAAGAGTGGGGGAGAAACACCAATGTGTGGTTGCCTCTTATGTGTCCCCCACCAGGGACCCGGCCTGCAACCCAGGCATGTGCCCTGACCAGGAACCAAGCCAGCGACCTTCTGCTTCACAGGCCTGTGCTCAATCCACTGAGCTACACCAGCCAGGGCCGTTTCCAGAAACTTTTTTATTTCTTCCCTAATTTCATTCTTGATTCATTCATTGTTTAATACCATGCTATTCAATCTCCATGATTTTCAGTGTTTGGGTTTTTTTTCCTTGGGGTTGATTTCCAGTTTCAGTCCCTTGTGGTCAGAGAAAATGCTTGATATGATTTCAATTTTCTTGAATTTGTTGAGGCTTGTTTTGTGTCCTAGCATGTGGTCTATCTTTGAAAATGTTCCATGTGCATTTGAAAAGAATGTGTATTTACCTTCTTTGGGATGAAGGGCTCTATATATATTAGTTAAGTCCATTTTGATGAGACTGTTCTTAAATGTAGTTACAAAACTGCATGTTTCTTGAATTTTACTGTTTTTCAAAATGTCATCTCAGAGGTAAAGATGATCCTTTTAAGTATAGCTGCAGATTAGAGATCATTATGTACCACACCATTAATTCAAAAACTGATCTGATGAAGGGTTAACTGAGAACTTTCGTAATATCAACCTTATTCTCCTCTGCAACACATAGACCTGCATAAATACACATTGACTGTTATCATCTGTTAAAGTGAATCTAATCTTGGAAGTCGTATCTGAACAAATGGGTCATGGAAGACACCCAGACTCCAGAATATTCCCAAATATCTCCTGATATTCCCATTTCAGGCTAAAATAGCTTGTATTTCTTGAAAACTGTTACCTGGGATGTAACTGACATTTCTGTATTCCTTAAAGGTACAGATATTTGCAGAACCTCAATGTCAAATCAAGAAGAGCTCTAGTTTTTCCAGCTCTTATGTATGGTTGAACAATTAAAATTATGACTCTGCAGATTTACTAACAAATACTCTAGAAAGCAGAGCCTGAAGCAAGTATTAAAGTGCTGGTGTTTTATTTGGGTGGCGAGGGTGAGGGAAATGAGGGAAGTGAAGCAAGGAAAGATGTAAAATATTATGACACAATAGATTACCCCACTGGCAGATTTCACAATGAGCCAGAGCCAGCACACACAGCTCATTTGGTCTGCATGTTCACTCAGCAGGCTGGACTTTCTCTGGAAGGCCTGAAAGGAAAAACCATGCCTGAGTGGTCTACAGGAGGGGGAAAGGAGGGGAATTAGTCTGCCAGGTTCCTGCTGTTTTTTGTGTTCCATTCATTAAGGCTCCCTACCTTGGAAACTGACTCTTCCACTTCTGATCATCTCACCCTTCAGCTCAGAAAGCCAGATCCTGTGGCCTGTAGTGTGATATTTCCTCTATCTCTAAGGTGGAGGGGGCACAGAGGGCTCAACGCGGGGGCTAAAAGGGCCACGTAGGTCCAGTGTAACCGGGGTTCTAGTCAGGCTCGGGAGCAATAAGGTTTGCTAACAAGGCAAAAACGAAGACAGTGGTCAGTCGAGGTGCCGAAGATGCCTTCAGGAAGGAGGAGGGGATTGAAACACTGCAGGAGTGTTTGTGGCTGGCATTATAGGACCAAATCATGACTTAGGAGACTCAATGGCCTACACTCCCAGGAAATGATGCATTAAAACAAAGCTTACCAGACTGAGGATAAACTGAAAACCCAATTTTATTTGCTCATTTTCAGTCTCATTACTGGCTGTATTGATCTCATGCCTATTCTCTACTCCCTACCCAAAATGATAGTTTACAGATGGAAAACTCACAAGAGAATGACAGGAACAAAAAAGGACAGATGAGAGAAAACAATAAAATTATCAAAGATGGGAAACAGTCAGAATGGAGAAAAACAAAACTCAAATGTGTACAGCAAGGGGAAAGTAAACAAAACAGGAGCTGAGCAATCACCTTATTACAAGTCTACCACAACACAACCAAGGCTTCCATCCACTTTTGAGTACCTCAATCAGAAATAAGAAAGATGGCAGAGATGATCAGACATTTCAAGAACATTTCCAATATGAGAGACAGGCATCAACAAACAAAAAGAAAGAAAACAGCTGGTGCAGTAACAGAAAAACCTAAAAATAATTGATAACTTCAGAGAAAAAAAATACATTCATTAAAAAGAGAACCAATTCACAAATGTGTTCCTATAGTATGTACATCATTGGCCTTGTATTATCTTTCTTCAAGAATTAATTGAACTTCAAAGAATTTTCAGAATATGCAAAATTAATAAAATTATCTGATTTTTTAAAAAAATATTTATTTTCAGAAGAGGGAGGGAGGGAGAAAAAGAGGGAGAGAAACATCAATGTGTGGTTGCCTCTCATGCGCCCACCACTGGCCCGCAACCCAATTCCCTAACTAGGAATTGGAGTAGTGACCTTTAGGTTTGCAGGCTGGCACTCAATCCACTGAGCCTCACCAGCCAGGGCTAATTGTCTTTTAAAAAGTGACATAACTGAGAAAAAAAAAAACATTTGGAAAATAAGAGCTAGCTTTTGGAAATTAAAAACATATAGTAGGAAAAAATATATAGCACAAAATTTAAATAATGAACTTCTAATCGACAAGAATAGAAAAGGCAGGCAAGGAAATTTTGTTTTTTTAAAACAAAAAAGTTAAAATGGAAAATTAAAAAAAAATTAACATAGAGGTACATTTCAGAAAATCCAACATTCAACTAAAAGTTCCTGAAAAAGAAAGTAGTATCAAGTGAGAATTTCTGAGATGCATATAAAGTACTAGACTTAAAGGGTTCACTAAGTACCTAACATCACAAATAATACCTACACTAAAACATATCATGGAATGTCAGGGCTTTTGAGATAAAGATCCTAAAGCTTTCAGAGAGAAAAATTACAGGTCCCTAGATAAAACGTTTGGAATTAGAACAGCACAGGGTTTCAGCAGCAGCAAATGTGGAAAACTAAGTAAAATGCATTTAAAAGTGTCTACCTACAATTATATAGCCTATCAAATTATCAGTGCAGTGAAAGAATAAAATAAACCCATTTCAGACATGCAAAGGCTCAAAAAATGTATAGCCTATTAACCCTCCTTGGGAATCTACAGAAGCATATAACCTACCAAACAGGGAAGTAAACACATGAAAGCAATAGCTATGGGGCTTAGGAAATAGAGGTGGGCAGAAGAAATGACCAGGCTGAAGGTGAGTAGAAATCCCAGGACAAGAGTTATGCCCCAGGTGTAGAGATGTGCCCATCACAGCCTGGGTAGTACCTTCCCAAAACTCAGGTCATAGTCATCCTAACTCCTGGGACCTCAGAATGTGACTATATATGGAGATAGGGTCCTTAAAGAGGAAATAAGTGTAAATGAGTTCATAAGGGTGGGCACTAATCCAATGTGACTGGCATCCTTAAAGGGGAAGTATGGACACAGATGGACGCAGAGGGAAGACCACATGAGGACAAGGAAAAGGGGGCCGTTTACAAACAACGAAAGGCTTCAGAAGAAACCAACCCTGCTGATACCTTCCTTGATCTCAGACTTCTGGCCTCTGTAAGTGTTGTTTAAGCCACACAGTCTGTGGAACTCTGTTATGGCAGCTGTGGCAAACTAATGGAACGCCCAACCTGAAATAGGCCAGGAGGATTCCAGGAAAGATTACAAACGGAAAAGAATCTAATGTGTTCATCCTAACCACATTAAAAGAAATGTTACAGTGCTGGCAGAGATCTGGGGGATGGATTAGTGGTAGGTCCACAGGAAAAAGGCAAACAAGTGAGGCAAGAATGAGGGGGGACAAAAATGGCCTAAGAAAGGAAACATAACCATGGTATACCAGGGCTCAGAGTGAATGGTGCTCACCTAGTAAAAAACTTGAACTTAGAATACTGATTTCAGTGCAAGTGGGAAATAACTACACTGCAAAGTTGAGGTTAACAAAAGTGTGTGTGGGGTACGTGATGTGAAAAAGCTAAATCCTTATCTTCCATGGTAAGTAGTTAGTAGATAACACCACAAATTGAAAAATCAAGAAGTGGCAATATAAGCACAGTATTTAAGTAAAGCAGCAAATACTAGAAGAGAACATAAAAACAGTGACTGCCTTTGCGGAGTGATAATTGGGTATGGTGGGGTGGTGACTGGGGACTTCTTTTTCATGCTAATCTTAGTAGAACTATTTGAATTTTAAAGTGCTTACTTTAAAAAAAAAATATAAATAAATTTTAAAAGTTTAAATAGAACACTAAAGACCTTTTAAAAAGGGAATTTCTGGTCCCTTTTGCTAGAAAACGCTCAGTGGTGTGTACTGCGAGCCAAAGCCAGAGCTAGAGTGTTGAAGAGTAAATGAGACACAAGAGAGCAAATGGAGCTAGTTTTTAACAAGCCATTCTGATAACTGAAACAGAAGTGGATGGGGACAAAGGGGACAATAGGGTAAAGAAAGGTCTTCTGAAGGTGTCTGGATGACAGGCCTTCTGCTGGCAATGTCCTGAGAAACTGCTTGCCAAAAAACTGCTGAGCTAGTAGACTGGCTGGACTGCCGTCACTGCCCTTGCTTGTTCTTCCCCAGGGAGCCTTCTTGAGTATCCTGGGGAATAAGTCCCCAGGACCAGCCTCTTCGAAACAGCCCTTGCATCTCTGTTAAATGTGGCAGGCAAAGAAAAACCTTATGAGCCATCCTTCAACTTAGATGAAGGATTAGCAACTTGAGACACATACAGGGGAGTAGTTGAGCTGCAGCATGTCCTTAAGGTCAGGTTCAACATGTCCTTCACATGTAAAAGAGAACAGATGAAATAACTATCACATTTAATAAAAGACATTCTAATACAAATGTTCAAAATAAGAGGCTTTAAAAAAATTAAGCCAAAGCCCTGGCTGGCGTAGCTCAGTGGATTGAGCGCAGGCCTGTGAACCAGAGTATCGTGGTTCGATTCCCAGTCAGGGCACATGCCTGGGTTGCAGGCCAGTTCCCAGCAGGGGATGCATGAGAGGCAACCATACATTGATATTTCTCTCCCACTCTTTCTCCTTCCCTTCCCCTCTCTCGAAAAATAAATAAATAAAATATTTAAAATAAATAGAATTTTTAAAAAAATGAAGCTGATATTCATCAAATATCTACCCAGGCTTTTGATGTCATGATGGTATGAAACTTTCTTAAGCAAAGGTTCTGGCTTCCTCTGCAACTAAAAATAATCAACACCCACCCCCCCAACCCCAGTGGTCCACCTGTGTGGTCTAGAGGTACAGCAGCAAAAGAGACAACTTAGAAAAGTCAAAGTCAGAGTACTGCTCCACTGTGACAGGCAAGTGGAGAGAGACCCCAGTAAGTTATGTTCAACTGAAAAGCACAAACATAAGGAGCCACACAAGTCTTCCCAATATCCCAGGCTTTAAATGTCGTATCTTATTCTGTTCATTAAGTAATCTTCATAGTCTGTTAAGTTTTCAAGTTTTCTGAGTCATTTCACAGTTGATAACAATGACCCTGTCAGGTAGATCAACCAACATTCTGGTTTATCAGTCTCTTGCCCAGCCGACAGACAATCCCTACAAGTCCATCCACTCCTGTGTTTAGACAGTGTACATGACAACTCAGTGAAAGGAGGCTGGTCAACCCCACAACAGCCTGCCAAAGAAACAAATGCCTCCTCACAAAATACCACCATTAACTGCAAATTGTGATTAGGTTCCAAAGAGATTGTCTCCTAGGTAAATTTCAATAGAAATCTTGAACAGTTAGGTAAAAAAAGAAACCTTGATGATTGGGTCAAAAACAGAGAAAGACGAAACAGAACATAACTAAAAATTTTTGTATGCACACATTCATATCACAAGTCTAGTAGAAAGGAAATACATAGAAAACATAGCATTGTTAAAAATTAGGTACATGGATATGATATTCTTTATTACTTTTTGAGTTCTAAAATAACATTTTCCTTTAAAAAAATTTAAGCCTGGAAAAACAGATTAATTCATTCAGTATTTCAAATACTGCAAATTTATCAGCATAGAGTCCAGTATTAATATAACTTTCCCTTAAGTTTGAACTTAAGGGAGGAAAAATAGATTATAAACCTCATTTGACCCAACCTTAGGGTCACTCCAGCTGTCTTCAGTCCTGAGGTCTCCAGACAGATTTCCAGGGTAGGTTGGCGTCACTCAGTCCATCCATAATAAGCTGGATAGGAAAACCCATAGTAACTGCCAGGACACCACCTTTTGTTCTGGACTACGTGATTGGCATCTGGCCGTACGCTCCAAGAGAATCTCCTCTGTGAACAGTCCTCTCCAGGGGGGCCAGGAGGAGGGTTATGGTGTCTCTGGTAAAAGCTTCGATTCTGTGAAAAGTTTCTTACAACAAAAAGTAATAAACCATTATTAGTTTTAAGAACATATATAATAAGCTTTGTAAATGATACATAAATACACTGGTTCTAATGATCTCTACCTGTATGACCTTAGCACGTAAATTACTTAAATCTTTGGATTTCTTAGTTCTTTATAAAATAGAGCTAATAACACCTTCTATCTTCATGAGTTGTTCTGAAGGTAAAGTAAGACAATACAGATAAATGATCTACCACACTGTCTCAGCACACAGTAGATTCCCAGCAGCCTTTCTCTCCTTCCCTATAGAGATAAATGCCCATACTGTTCTAATCGGATACTTTCTTTCCAAGTCTGGCAGAATGACATGAGACAGAGCAAGCTAATTATTCCTGAAAACATAAAGCTGCTTTCATTTTATAAATATATGTGTATATATTAATTATAAAGTATAGACATTCTAAAAATAGTATATGCAACAAATTTGGAAAATTAAGATTTAAAGCAAGATCAATAAATGTAATATAATCATACAAAAGAAAATTTGAAATCAGGAAAGAAAAATTAACCTCAATCCTCTCTCAATCCTACCTAATCTAATTAGACTGGTTAATATTTCCTTTTCAAAAATCTCCCCCCAGCATCTTTTTTTTGAAATTGTGAAATTACAATATTATTTTTACTTATCCTGTGTGAGCTATCAGTTTTCACGGCTTTATAAAATGTCATAGTATGGACGTAATTTACCCGACTATTCTTCTCTGTTAGAAATGGAAGCCACTGTCTACTTTTTCACTACTATAAATAATGCTGGGACCAACATCTCTGAATGTACTACTGTACCCTGAGCACCCATTCAAATGTCTGAAAAGTAGAAGAAAGGTTTTAGAAATGTGCTGATTAAGATGAACAGTGAAAGGACAGCAAACTCACAGTTATTAAGAACCACACCTAAAACAAAAGCAAACTAAGAGGACAGCTAGATCAGGAGCAGAACCATAGATATGAAGATCACATGGAGGGTTAGCAACAGGGGAGTGGGAGAAGGAGAAGGGGGGAGAAGGTACAGAAAATAAGTAGCATAGACAGTAGGTAGAAAATAGATGGAGGGAGGGCAAGAATAGTATGGGAAATATAGAATCTAAAGAACTTGAGATATGTGGTCATAAACTAAAGGGAAGAATGGTGGGGGGGGGGAGGGGTGTGCAGGGTGGAGGGGAATGAAGGGGGGAAATAGAACAACTGTAATGGCATAATTAATAAAATATATTTAAAAAGAAATGTGCTGATTAAATGATTATAATATAACTCTTTCCGTATTTTAAAGTATTTCCTTAGACTAAATGTGGAATTAACAGGTATGCGCATTTTGTATGGAATTAAACTTATCTTTGCAAAGGACTGGACAAATTTTCAGTGCCACTGGCAACACAAATAGCATTTAAAAAAAAAAGATTTACATCTTCTAAAAATGCTAACGTCTCTTTGAAAGTGTTCATATTGCGCTCAAAATACTTTTTTAGTTCATGTAATAGTGAAAATCAATTCCTATGAGGTAGGTTTTATTAAAATTGTCATTGGGCCCTGGCTGGTGTAGCTCAGTAGATTGAGCGCGGGCTGAGAACCAAAGGGTCGCCAGTTCAATTCCCAGTCAGGGCATATGCCTGGGTTGCAGGCCAGATACCCAGTTGGGGGCAATGAGAGGCAACCACACATTGATGTTTCCCTCTCTTTCTCCTTCCTGTCCCTTCTCTATAAAAATAAATAAATAAAAACTTTTAAAAAACTTGTCACTGGATTGATGAAAAATTATAGAGAGTTAGAAACCTTACCCGTGATCATACGGCAAGTGAAGGGCAGAAGCAGGGTGCATTTCAGGCGCAGCCTGACACCCCTGCCCGGGGCTGCTTTATCGGGGCTGCTGCTGAGTTAGCAGGCGACGCACAGAGCCTTGCTGCTTCACGTGTACTGAGGCTGTTTCCATTTCCCAAGTAAGAATTCTTTTTTGATTTATTTGTTCAAGTCCTTTGCAAATTCCTCTACTGGAATTTTTACTATTTCCGCTATAATTTGTACCTACTCTTTAAATGACAACCTTCCTTATCTGAGAACTATACCATTTTGAACGTAGCCAAAGAAAGCAAGATCGTTTTTGGTAGTCATACCAAATTGCTGGCTGAAACTAAGTTCATAAGCAATGAAACTGTCTAAGTCTTTTTCCTAGTTGCCTCTGAAAAGTCACATATTTCCCATCCTGCACCTGATCTTCCAGCCCTAAGGGCAAAATATGAAGAAACGATACCTTGAGGTTGACACTGACCAGCAAGAAAATGTCAATTCCTCACCATTATCATAGCATGTTGACACTAAGTTATCACACTACTCACTTCTCCTTCAATTCTAGAAAAGAGGGAAAGCAGACACACCTTGCTGACTGCTGCACATCTGGGGCCTGGGTGTGCAAATGCCAAGAAGGTGCTGGGTAACCGTGGGTCCAACGTCTGTTATTCCCAGGTCCTTGGTGAACAGCCTTATTAGTGGTGTGGATTGGTTCCACCATGTATGATGAGTAGTCAGAACCCCTTGATCTGGAGACACTGGGTTCCCGATCCCTCAAAGAGAATGATTTTTACACACGATATTACTGGTTTCCAAATTCAGTAGCCAATTTACTGTCTATATTTTGGCCAATGAAAATAACAACCCCATCCTCCCTCCATTCCTATTTGTTTAGGTTTCCCCGAGCAAGTAAATAAGTGACAAGAAGAATGGCTATGTGCAACTTAAATGACATAAAAGCACATCTCCCTGACCACAAACTTCACATGTAAAATGCAACTCACCTGATGGGACCATTCTGAAGGTCTTCAAGGTAGTTTTGCCTTTCTATGCAATGTCCTCGGCACCGATTGAATACTAAGGAGTGGAAGAACTGTCAGAAATAGCTGTACAAAAAGCAAATCCTTTCCAGAGAAAGCAGATCAGAGCTGAAATCCATTGACTAATCATTCCGACTGTTATATCTCAATATTTCCAGATACATCCCTGTATACACTTTTGGCAAAAGATTATCTTAGGTCACAATGAATGAATTACAAACTTTTCTCTCTTCCCAAAATTTGGGAAAAGTCCATCCACATTTCCACCTTCCACTTTCATAAAAAGAAAAAATAGCGATAACCCTCATACTCACATTCAATTGCATCGTCTGGCCTCATGCCTTCTACGTCAATCAAATATCTAACAAAACAACATAAAAATCAAGTTTGTTGCAGAAAAGGTCCAATTTCACTTACAGATACAGGTATAAACATCCTAAGGAAATATCATACATCTAATCCAGTAATTATTAAAGAATGACACACCATGATCATGAAAAGCCTTATGCTAAGGATGCAAGGGTGAACCAACTTTAGGAAATCTATTAATAAAATGACTTACATTAACACAATTTAATTACTAAGAGTAGAAAACACAGAACCAACTCACCAGGGTTAAAAAGATATTGGTAAGATACAAGTAATTTTGTATCAAAATATGACAAGAGTATTTATCAGAAATCAACAAATAGCAAAAGACAAGTTGGGGAAACATTGATATCATATCTCAAAAATACTCTTAACTGACTGCATGGGCAGGAAACTTAGCATTCTCCATCACTGCAGCCATGTCTTCCTTACCCTCATCTCTCTCCATCCCACCACCACCCTAGCAGTGATATCACATACACACTCTGGCGTATGTCCACATCTTCCCACCAGAATGACCTGCACACCCTGGACCAAGCCACCGCTATGCCTCGACTGCTACACAAGCCTCACCTGCCTACTTGCTTCCACTCTGTGCCCCTGCAGTGCAGACTGATTATCCTCTACACTAACTCGCCCTCAATGAAAAGAGTTAAATGGTTTTCTACTGCTCTTAAGTTAAAACCTAAAACTTCAACACAGGCCTGCATGATGTAGTTTCATTTTAATGCCATTCTTCCTCCATGGCACAGCCTCCCTAGCCAGGTCTTCCAGCACAGCACATGCTTTCCTGCTATAGAGCCTGTCCTGCTCCTTGTGCCCAGAATTCTCTCCCCCATGACCCTATCTTGTTAATACCTACTTTTCCTTAGGTATCAGATCAACTCTCCCCAAGAAAACCTTCTCTAAGCTCCATGATGAGGTCAAGTTATCCCAACTGATATGTTCTCGTAATACCATGTCCCTCTCCTTCTGGGCACCTGTTAAAGTTGTCATTGTAGATGCGTGTGCGAGCAATTGCTGGAATTACGAGTAACTGCTGGAATTATTCTCTAAATTGCTGGATCCAGGTCACGTCTCTCTGGTCACAGTTTCACAAGTCTCTTTGCTAGCACCCAGCACAGTGTTTACACATAACAGATGCTAGACACATATTTTCTGAATAAACAAACACAAATCGGTACATTGTAGCAACATCCACAAGAAAGCCTAAGGACATAAACTTTTTGATTCAGAAATTCCATCCTGGTTGAAATTGTCTCTCAGACAATAGCATATATATTCAAAGATCTACTCAGAGGAATATTTATTATTTCAATACTTTATAACATCAATTTTCTGATTTTTATGTACATCAGTTAAAGGAAGGAAAAATGCAGCCATTTAAAGGAATGAGGTCTCCAAATACTTTCAAAGGAAGATGAAAGTATTCATCTCCACCATGTATTAAAATATAAAATAAAAACATAAAACAGAATGTCTGAATATTATACCATTAAATTACATGTATATTCTTATATCTACACTGTGAAATTCTGAAAAAACATGTAGTCAATTATTACTGGTGGTAATCCCTGGGTGAGGGGCAATACTGCTTTCTGCTTCATATATTTCTATACTAACTGCATTTTTGCAATTAGTTTTTATTCCTACTTAAAACAACTTAGGCATGGTCTGCCTCTTGGGGTTAGGAACTCACCTGCAGATGAGGTAGCCAGTCCTGTTTAAACCATGGGTACAGTGGACACCAATAAGTCGGTCTATGAAACAGGAAATGTACAGTTAAATAAATGAAGTAAATGCCCTAAAACAAGTTACACACTTTTCTGCAGAGTAACATATTAGTTACCACAGCACTACAACTACCTGGAAAGAAATAACACCTGAGGAAAAATAGGGTTTTTTAGTAACATATTCTAAGGAATGATGTAATATAAAGTCAAAACTCATTGTCTCTGGGAACTTGGGCACAGTCCCCAGTTAGATGCAACAGTGTAAGATGGGGAAGGCCTGGTCAGGTACTGAGAGCAACTCCCCTGAGAAAACTCCTTTTGTCTTAGTTTACAGGGTCCGGCCCAAATAAGGCCCCCTTCTGTTACAAAATCTCTTATTACAAAATCATAAGGATAAAATTCTGTAACATAACAATAGCAACTCAAGCACACCATGTGACATTTTAGGTGACATGTTCAAATTGCTGCCCATCTCACGCAAGACTTTCACGTACCTGACCAACACACTCAAGCAGGCCTTACTTCTGCCAGACCCTGCAGAATGCTCATCAGTAACTGATCAGTTACAGAAAAGGGGAGTTAAAGAAAAACAGGCAATGAGGAGACTGAAATTTGTCTAAGTGAAACGAATGGAATGCCATCAGTTTTAACACCGATTATTAAAAAGGACAGTTTCTGCAGTGCTCTTGTGTTCCCAAGGCATGTCCATCCCCCATTTGTTGATCCTCACCTGCCAGAGGCCTATGTGCCCTGTGAAGTCTGTTTATAGTTTATAGTGAAAGTCAGATGTGGAAATGTAAGCCTGAACTACACAGCGGGAAAATAGAACCAACACGAGAACCATGTCTAAGATTTTCCCAACCATGCCACAGAATGCCTTAGTCCTTATTTTAAAAACATTCTGTGATAAATTAAATAAAAAACATGTAATTGACCTCTGCACAATGTATGCCGCTGACTAGGCACTGTCTGGTAGGAGGGCGCTCATCATCTCCTACCTGGATTACTACCGCCCTACTCCTCACCTCTTCTATTTCAATGCAACCTGCATGTGGAAGATGCTTTCTAAAGTATACACTTGCCTGGGTTGTTCCCTTGCTGAAAAATCTTCATTTTGCATAGAATAAAGCCCAAACATTTAGGATGGCATTTAGAACTCTTAATAAAAGGAGAGCAATCCGTCTGTCTAACTCTAAGTCCACAATGGTCTGAACTGCAACCTACAAAGACTTGCTACATGGCCCACCTCACTCCCGCCCCCATGCCGACCTCTCTGATCCCCTTTTCTATGGCTCTGATCTCACTCACTCTCCCCACTCCAGCTGCACTGGCCTCCTCACTATTGCTCAAACGTGCTGATGTCATGACAGTCGTGCCTCAGGGACTTTACACCTACCATTCTCTCCCTTTAGAATACTACCCAGCACAGTCTTTCCCCAATACCCAATGGCTCGGTTCCTCCCTTCCATTAAGGCGCTGCTAAATGATATCTTCAGAGTAGCTTCTCCTGATCACCCACCACACCCCCTCACCTCCTTATTGTTTTCTTATTCTACGAAGCACTATCACCACCTGGCATTCTGCATATTCACTTTTTATTTCTCTCTCCCCCACTAGAATGTGAAGTATATAAGGGCAAGAACTTCCTTCTGTTCCTACTTCCTAGATCAACGTCTTCACCTTCGAAGGTGTCACATATAAATATTTGTGGAATATGAACAGAAGAATTATGCCCTTTCCCTCTACCCTCTAGTGGCACCAGAGCCTGCGTTCTCCTTGCCACAGATTCAAGCTGTGCAGGTCCTGGACCATTTCCAACACGTAAGCTGTCCTTTCCTCTTTCTGGCCAAATCCTGCTCCCCACAGCCCATCTCAAACACTGACTCAAACACTGACTCCTTTAAGTAGAAAGGCCTTCCTCCATCTCTCTATATTCTCAGACCATATAATTTATTCTTATTATAACTAAGTACTTATACTTCCTACATGTTTACCTGCCAAGATAACTGATGTTCTAGTGAACAAAGACTGCTATTCACCTCTAAATCCTTGTACCCTAACAATAAACCCAACAGGCCGTCAAGTGTTTACTAAATCAATTTATTTTCTGAGTATATTGGTTCTAGGGGATGGATTGTGTAGGGTCCTCCTCTTCATCAGTGAGCCTAGAATCTGTAGAGGGACTCACAGCAGAGGTAGCCAAATGGATCATAAGTCAGGTCCTGAGACCGTCATGGCAAGGAGCACTGCCAGACACAGTGAAGTCAGCATAACACAAGCAGGAGACCAACATCAAGTCAACCATGCAACGGAGTATACCCGGTGTAGTATGTAAAGAACCAATACTTGCAAACATGTTCTCATACACCCCCGTGGATCTTCTAGCCCTCCCGGAAACAGATGGGACACTTCATAATAGTTCCACACAAAGGAGCCTGTAGACTCTGTGGTTATCACAGGCAAAGTCCAGCCTCTCACGACTTAAAGTACAGGAGCGACCTGTGACCAGGGCTCAGATATTTAAGAACTAGTGCCTACAGTAAGTGACCAGGTAACAGCTTGAAAATTTTATCTTAAAAACCACTGATTCCATCTCTCTTTCCTTCCATCCCCTATCTTCCCACATCAGTCTCTATTCTTTCTCCCTTACTCTCTGCTTCTTTATATTTAAACTTACATTTGTATCTCAAATTTACTTAATAAAGTATATTAAGCTAAATGTAGAAAGAGAACAAATGAACACTCGGTCCTGTGGGTGTGTGACTTTCCAAAGAAAAGATTCCCCAGTCTTAAAACATGGCAAACATCACATTCCTTCTGATAGCCAGGTGCCAGGAAAAGGCAATGGGTCCTTTAAATGCAGAAGCTATTAAGACCTGTTTTCAAACAGAGTCAAGTAGATCTTAAAGCAGAAACAAGCAAACACCAGCCTTCCTGTTCTTCTTCCTTAGTTCTTCCTGTCTGAAAACTAAGAATAAGAGGTGGCCATGACCTTCACCTGTACCCAGAGTGGAAAAACAGCAGAAATGTTTCAAATATGAACGATGAAGACACAACTTCACTGTTCCACTCCATTTTCTTCTGCTTCTAGGGGTCTGTCTCACCTCAAACCTTTTTAAATTTTAAAAGGTCTGTCTCAACCTTTGCCTCCTTTTCCTGTTTTTACACATTCCAAAACACTGAGATTCTATCCTTTCTTCCACCTACCGATCACCTCTTAACCAGTAAGACAACAGAACATTTTTATATTATACATTTCCCATTCAAATATTTAAAAAAGAGATGAGCTAGCTCAGCTCCTATTTCTCACTAACCTCGCATTACAAACTAAGTTGCTTATTTGTAGCCATAACGGGACAAACACCTTACTCTATCACCACCCTCTGACATGCCCACATTATCAAATAGGACTAAGGCAGGAGCTATTAAAAATATTAAAAATTCACAACCCCACTCAAAATACATAACAAAGTTCAGGTAAGAAGTAGAACTCACCGTTATCTTTGTTTTCTTTCAAAAACCCATTAACAGCACATTTAAATTTAAAAATAGTGTCATCATCAGGCACTTGATGCCCAATTGTATAAATTTTTAAGTAGGGAATAGTTTCCGGTAAGTCCTAAAAGGCAAGACCATGAAAATGTATGTTATTTCATTTGCAGGGAAAAAATTAAAAATTAAAAGAGCCAGAACAGAGATTGTAATAAACTTAGTATGTCAGTAATTCTGATAAAAAAGGCATTTTCCAAAGCTGCTTCAACCAAGAAGTATCACCAGATTTGCATTAAAACCACAGAATGGATAGTCAGTAGGTATACGCAACCAAAAGCAAAATGCATGTGAACGAATCCATATAGAACTAAAAGCTGCATAAACAAATCCACATAACATTTTACATTTCAAGGGCAAGAGAGTCAGAAGACCTTGAACAGAGCAAATCGCAGGCACTGTTGAGAGCTGGTACTCTCAGGGTGGGAGAGAGTAGATATTGACAATAGCCAGAACAAGTTAAATAAAATCCTGTAGTTCTGAATTCAATAGGAAAGTGTCAGTGTGAACCTATGATGTATTCATATGAAAATAAACATACAAACATAATTGTTACCCCTGAAGAAGTACAGGAACAACTAAGGTTACGTCGTGTCAAGAGGACTCGGGAGCCAAATAGAGAAGCTCCAACTGGCCAGAGATAGGACTCAATTTGTGCCTCAGTAAGAATAGTAACTGCAGTGAAATCCCCGATGATACAAAAATAAATAAATAAAGTACAATTGAACTGGTCATCACTGGAGACTTTAGTGAATCAACTCATTATTTTGAAATTTTTTAAATGAAAAAATCATGCCTTACAGCTGGGCAACCAAATAGCTGATGAGCTTCCTTTCACAGAAATATACCCAGCTAATGTGCCCTGGCTAGTGTAGCTCAGTGGACTGAGTGTGGGCCTGCAAAGCAAGGGTTGCCGGTTTGATTACCAGTCAGGGCCCATGTATGTGTTTGGGCCAGGACCCCAGTGGGGGTGTATGAGAGGCAACTACACCCTGATGTCTCTCTCTCTCTCTTTCTCCCTACCCTCCCCTCTAAAAACAAATAATTTCTTTAAAAAAGAAAAAATATATACCCAGCTAATAAATGAAAAAAACAGTAGAGTTCGCCATTTCTGAAGTCCCCAAATGATTGTGGATGTAGGTACTAATCATCAGTGTCTGCCAACACTACAGAAACAGGCTACACTTACACGTCTCCATGGAAGAACACTCGTAAGGTATGGAACTGCTGTGGAAAACAAAAACAAAACCCCAAGCCTGAATCTAATCAAGCCTCTGGGTCAATTACCAATTTAAAATACAAGTCCTCAGGAATATGGTTACACACATGCGGGTGTGATCATCAAAATTATATGGGACAAACCACATAAATTCTTAAAAAATGAAATTCAACAGGGGAAATAAAAGAACAGGGATATGGTTCCACAGATATTACAATCGAACACAATGTGGACCTTATCTGGGTTTAATTCAAAGTCTTACAAATGTTTCCTTTCATGAGATTTAGAAGACAACTACAAAATGCATGCTGACTGGAGATTTAATATTAAAAAGTTATATTAGGAAAAAAGCCCCACATTTTAAATATGAATGCCAAAATGTACAGGTACAATGACATCTGGAATCTACTTCAAAATAATATGGAATAAGTTGAAACAGGTCAAAGTGTAGATGAAACCTGGTATCAGTTAATGAGTATCAAAGCTGGATGAATTTATGGATGGACAACAAACACCCACAGTTTTACATCGACTTCTATGTAAGTTTAAAGCTCATAATAATTGTGTAAAAACAAGAGGACACTGTGGAAAACAGTCTGGCAGTTTCTCAAAGGTTAAACACAGAACTACCACATGACCTAACAACTCTACTCCCACCTACACATCCCAAAGAACTGAATGCAGAAATCTGAACAACTATTTGTACACCTGTGTTCACAGCACCATGATTCACAAGCTCCAAGGAAGGAAACAGTCCAAGTGGCCATCAACAGATGAAGAGGTAAAATAAGGTATACATACACATGGATTATTCACCCATGAAAAGGAATACCATTTTGTTGCATGCTATAACAGGGATGAGCCTTGAAAACATTGTGTTTAGTGAAATAATCCAGACACAGGACAAATGGATGAGCACTTACACGAGGTACCTAGCATAGGCAAATTCACAGAAAGCAGAGGTTACTAGGGGACGAGGGGAGGGGAAATGAACTTGTTACGGCTTAATGGTTCAGTGCTTTTGTTGATGACAATGAAGTTTTGGTTATAGACAGGGATGATGGACACACATGACGTGAATGTACATAATGCCACTGAATTGGAAACTCTTGGTTAAAATGGTAAATGTTAATCTACATTTTACAACAATAAAAGAGGAACAACTGAGTTCCTTTTCATTATTTCTATTCTCAGCCTGTTTCATCATCTGTTAAATTCCTAATCGTGATCATTTATTCTGAGCTTAGTGAAGAATAAGCACTCAATAGGAGATATCAGTCCTACGACTACTTCAACAGCTAGAACTTGTTGTGCAGATTAACTAAGGTATGTGAAAGGACTTTTTAATTTAGGTTTTAAAAGATATATGTTTGTGGGGGGCACAGGAGATGGGCTGGGATGGGAGTAAAAGACAGAATACTGTAGTTGAAAAATAAAAAAATAAAAAAGATATATGTTTATTTTTAGGGAAAGGGGGAGGGAGAGAGAAAGAGAGGGAAAGAAACATCCATGTGTGAGAGAAACATCAATTGGTTGCCTCTCTCATGCCCCCAACTGTGGACCTGGCCCCCAACACAGGCATGTGCCCTGACCAGGAATCCAACCCGTGACCCTTCCATTTGTGGGACAATGCCCAACCCACTGAGCCACACCAGCCAGGGCTCAAAGTACTTTTTAAAATAGCAAACCGCTATCAAGTATTAACATGTTTTTATTGTTAATGTTATTATTGTTTTCTATGGTCACTGAACTGGTCAGAAGGAGGACAATTCTTTCCAAATGTGGGCCAACAGAAAAGATGGGTTTCTGTACAGCATGGAAAAATTATAGGAAAAGAAAGCATACACCTTTAAGTAATCATCAGTCTTTTACTGTGATGATTACACATGCGCAGGTAACTGCTTAAAATAAATGCTAATGACATAATCAATATTCCTCTTTGTGCTCTTAGGCTACTACTTATCTCACTAGAAGTTTACTTCATTTTCAAAATACAGAACATAGTAGCTTACAGAATTTCTTAAGCACACACAGAGCCTACTGCCAAATATTAGACTTTAATTTATGTCTTTATCTCATTCTGAGACAACAATTAGAAATGTTTAGTTCAGGAAACCACTTGGTTCCCTTTTTCAACTGTTACCCACGAAAGTACGCTTGGATTCATCTTAGCCTGAGGTGATAAATACTAGCTACTGTGAATTATTATAGTATCAGAAAGTAGGTTCTATTTTAGTTAACATTTCCATTTACCTCTGGTTTATAATAGCGGTGAGTATATGTTAAATCAATAATCAGTCCAAGTTCTTCATTCTGTTCTTGGATTTTGTTAAAAAGATCCAAGGGGGAAAAACGTTCTTCTGGAGCAAGTCTCTCTTCAAAACTCTGTCAGAGAGGATGAGATAGGAAACAGACAAGGTGCACTTAAAATCCTTTGTTATGCGATCCGTTTATTCAAGCCCTGTGACGCTGACAGGAGAGGGGCTAAGCAGAGACCCTTGTAAAGCCTCCAGAATCCACTTTTAGTGCTCATGCAGTAGGGACTGGAGCAGTTAGAAAAACTGCATAGAAAAGAGAAAAAATTCCCAGTAACTGCGAATGTGGGTGGGAAGCCATTTATTCACTCAACAAAGATTGTTAAGTATTAATTGCATGTCAAATACTTGCTTGGTATTGATGAATGTAAGAACCGTATGTTATCTTTATACCAAATTTTAATGTCCAGAGATGCAGAAAAATAGATGCAGTGAGAAAAAGGAACCCCTACCCATGAGTCACAAATTAAATTCCCAATACACTTAAATTAGGCTTTTACTGATGCTAACCTATGCTATAACAGGCAGTGTAATGAGACATGGAATCTATTCTCACTTTCTGTGTATCATTCAAATACTTTCCCCACCTACTCCTTTCTTAGTTAAAAAAACAAAACCAAAAAACATTTTAAGAATTTCCATGCTGAAACCCTAACCTTGCATTTTTCTTGTTGTGATGGAGGGAGCAAAGGGTCTTCCTGGCAGTCAGTAGATGTGGTCACAGATGCTAGACATTTTGTCAAATCGGAACAGTCCTACAAATGTGTCTTATACTTGAATGACTATTGAATATTCTACTCCATGTTCAATGAGGTGAAAAAACTGTTTGTAACTATGTAAGCCTTAGAAACTAGCTCCGTTTCACAATTAAACACAAAGGTTTTATTTTTCCTCCAGTTTTAATGTACACTGAATTCTCCAGAATAGTAATTACCTATTAACCAGTGAAAAATGAACTTGGTTTTATTTGGAAATCTACTAAGAGCTGTTCACTGTCATGGAAACTCCTATCGCTAAGGCAATATAACCCACCTAAATCAGTCTGCATTTGCAGTTTTTGTATTCATGGTGCAAGTAACCAACTACTTCTTTATTTCCAGTATAGTCATGCCTAAACATTTACATAGTGAAATGCAAAAATTATAAGTTCTTTTATTTATTCCTTGCATTAAACAAGGAATAAATAGGCCCCCCCCCCCCAATCTCTGGAAGGCAGGTCCCTTGTAGTACAGGCTTCCCCCACTAGGGGAGTGTTCAAGGAAACTATCTGCATCAGGGTACCAGCAAGCATTGTTGTGAGAGGCTATGTTTGGCTCCAGCAAAATTTTTTTGGCACATGTTTGTGCTTTCATGGAGGGTGATTTACGACACAGTGCTGACCAAGAACAGCATGACCCCCGTGCCGCACCCTTCCTATCCACCTGATCTCACCCTAAGTGACACTTTTTTTTTTGTTTCCCCCAGATGGAAAAAGTCGTAAAAGGTAAACAGTTTGCCAGTGTGGAAGAAGTAAAACAAAGCACAGCAGAAGCTGTTCAAATTGAATGCCTTAAAAGGCATTCAAATTGATGAATTCCAAAATTGTTTTGAGTGGTGGAAAAAAAGTCTCAGTAGGTATGTTGCATCAAGTGGAAAGTAATTTGAAAGTGACTTAAGTTTAAACATGTAATAATACACAATTTTTATAAATACTGGTTTTTTGGGGTCCCCTCTCATAATTACAGCATTGCACTAATTTTTTCCTTTAAAATTAAGTATGGAAGTAGGTTGAAATTCATTTGCAATGAATTTCATTTCATGATAGTAAAGGGCAAAAATAAAGCATGTGCTAAAGAGAAAGTGGAGAATGACAGGATTGAGAATCAGTGTTCTACATGATAAATTCAGATTTCTGAAAGAATAATGAATTAAATTTTGCTTACCTTTTTCAAAGGAACTTTGAAAGCAATGAAACGAGTCCCAGGCATTCTCTGTCCAACTGGGAGATAGTCTTTCCACCTGTTAATACATTTTTTGTTAGCCCGTCTCCCTGACACAGATTGAAGACTCCTTGGTCTCTTCTTCTCTTTGCTTTGCATTTTACTGCTCTACTTATTCAAGCCCATCTAGTATACAAGAGTACTCCCTTCTTCCTGCTTCCCCATCTTGAGAACAGATACCAGGCAACACTGCACAGGTCTTAACAAATGAGGCAGATCTAAGACCAGAGGCGGCCAGAACTTCTGTGTCACTGACAAAAACTAGCCTAGTCCTGAATACTATGGTGCCACTAATATATACATGTTAACTGAAATAGTTTAAACTCAATCCTTTCACTTCACACTTTATTTTCAGTCTTCGTACAACTGATGCCAACAAATCAGATCAGTAGGAAACTTTGAGTTCATATTTTAGAAGGATACCTGATTGAAAAAGGGACTCTGAACATCACCTAATGCTAGGAGTCTGAGTGAAAAGGAATACTGACTTCTGTCAGGTGACTGGAATGACCCAAGGTTAATTCAGTTTATCTGCAGCATAGAAAGTGAAGGAAGGTAAAAGCAGCGCAAGTTGGGGCTGAAGAAGCAGAGTGGATTCTAGACAGTACAGAATCTTAAAAGCCATGGTAAAGACTTTGTATTCATTCTTGAAACAATATTTTTGAGTGATGTTTATGACCAATGTTCCAGTTTACCTCTTAAAAAAAGCTTTCTGTGTGAAGAATGGATTAGAAGGAAACGAGTAGATAGATATGGATACACTAGTTAGGACCTAACTGCGACAGATCAGGCAGGTTCTGGACTAGGATGCTGACCGAGAGAGACTGAAGGACTCAAACTATTTTCAGGAGATAAAATGAAAGGGACATAACAACATACGACATGAAGAAAAGGAATGAAGTGTTCACTGCACAAATGAGCAAAGTTTCAACATTAATCATGTGAACCTACAGAAAAAGATCTTTCAACTGAGACCTGTTTGGAAACTCCACAGTATGCCCGTTGTGATCTGTTAACTCTAGAAACCAACGTTTTCGGTTGAAAGTTCAGCGGCACTGGGGCGTTTTCTCACTCAAACTCCGTACCTGTTACTCACATTTTCTGTGCCACAAGAACACAGCTTCTGGAATTAAGGGGTGGGGGGAGTCTATTTTGGTAATGAATGATAGATATCCCTAACACTGACACTTCCATCTAAGAAACCAGTCCCTCCCCATTTATCCGAGAAGCGATGGCCAGAGCCTCGCTTTGAAAAGAAAGGGAGAAATCAGAAAAGCATGGACATTTCAGCTACTGCGGCCGGCGCAGCGAGAGGATCACAGCCCCCTGGCGCGCGGCGGCCATAGTGATGGGCAGAGACTGCAGGAGACGCCCACGAGCTACAGACAGGAAGAGCCACGCCCAGAGTCTAAGGCTTGTTACCTTTCGGGGATGTGGTTTCCGCCCTTCTTCTTGGCCTTGGAACGTCCAGAAAACACGCGTCCCGGGCCCCAGCCGCCCCGGGCACGATGCCATTGGCTCATGTGGGCCCCAAGGTGCCGCTGAGCAAGCGCCAAGAGCGCCAAAGTCGCCAGACCTAAGCGATCAGAGCCAAAACAATATTCTCCACCGGAAGCTTCTACACAGCAACCTACGCAGCTCCACCTTCTACACAGCCTCCTTGCTAATGCGCACGCGCCACAGCTCGTGGTGATGATGTCACCACACCGGGTGGTTGAAAATATGATTAGCAAACAGAATTTTGGTGGCTATAGTGCCCTCTTTAGCCGGCGGCCGGTAGTGCAGGTTCTTGAGTTCGTGTATGTACCCTTCAAAATCCAAATACTACAGCACGTAGAATGAAAGCTTAAGTCTCCTTCCCCCAGTTCCTTCAGTGGTCTTTCCATCTATTTTCCAAGTGTTCACATTCACTCTTATTATGGTATAAATATTTATTTGCACAAATGTGCAAATTTGCACTATTTGATATAACAGCAGCACACCATATATGTTACAATATATCCACAAAGAGTCTTGTAATTTCCCTAGTCAATTTAAGTGTACATACATTCTGTTGTTTGGTCACATAGTGTTCCACTGATGATAACAAGTAACGTAATTTATAAAACCCAGTTCTATATTGATGGACTTTTAGATTTATTTTCCGTTTTCTGCCCTCCACTACACAGAAGCAGTGATGTGAACATCCCTAAACGTGTATACACCTATATCTAAATACCTAGAAGTAGAATTTCTGGAATGAAGGCCTTGCAAACTTAAAACGCTAAAAGATACCACTTAATTACCCTAAAGAAATAAAATAGAATTTTAACCTACATTTCCACTCACAATGAAGCTTTTTATTGGGTCCTATCATGTGTCAGGTTTTATGTATTCACATTTTAGAAAATAACAAAAAAATAACAGAGAGATGACAGTGAAGCTGAAGTCTAAGATTTCCACACAGTCTCAGGCATAGTGATCTGTAACTGTTAGCAAACCTCTCAACTCCACTACCAGTGAAGCAGCAGCAGACAGCATGTCTTTCATTAGGTCAGAGGGATAACAGAAATCTAAATTTCAGATTAAACTGTAGATAATTATAATAGCAAAGATTTTTCATTTTTTATTTTATTTACATTTTTTTAGATTTTATTTATTTCTAGAGAGGAGAAGGAAGAGAGAAAGAGAGAGAGAAACATCAATGTGTGGTTGCCTCTTGCACATGCACCACTGGGGACTTTGCCAGCAACACAGGCATGTGCCCTGACTGGTAATGGAACCCTTTGGTTCCCAGGAAGGTGCTAAAACCACTGAGTGACTGAGTCAGCAGGTACTTGTTAGTTTCTAATTTCTCAAAGTACCTTATATATACTCTAAATCAACACAACCATTTGTGATCTGGGTCAACAGCATCACAAAGGTCATGATTACTGAAGACATGATTGCACACATGCTGAAAAGATCACTAGTTTTAAAATTTGGGGGACAATCATACTCTGACCAACTTTATATCCACAAGCATTTACAATTCTGAAGACTCCCACATAATTAAAAATCGGTTAATATTAGCAAATTGCTCTATGCCAAAATATGGAAGTTAGCACAGCACAGTTTGCAAACTTACAATTAGAAACACTCAAATTTGGTGCTAAAACATCCAATATTCTATTGGATTTATGAAAAATATACAATACAGGTATAGTCGCCAAAAAGTATTACTGGTACAAATGCCTATGGATGTGGCAATATACAAAATGTGACATAAATCTATCAGAAACTGGAAAAATATTATTGGTCTTATATTTCCAATTTGCTAAAAGACACAGCTTGAGGAGGTCATAAACTCAGTTATAGTTGACACAAGCAAATCTAGACCTAAGCACAATAGGGTTTTCAGAAAGTGTGGGAACTACCAAAGAGTAGACTGTTGGGTGGCAGTGAATCCAACATGAGCTAAAGAATAGAAGACAGAGGTGTCAAGGATATTTGGAGCAACAAGCAGCTAAGTAGTTGTTGACACTATAAAGTCTATCAGCGTCTGGAGGGGGCCCAGGTGCCATGATGGGATTGAGGGCAGTGGTCCCCAAGTTTTTTTTGCACCAGGGACTGGTTTCATGGAAGGCTATTTTCCTGAGACGAGGGTGGGGTTGGGGGAGACATGAGGAGGTGGAGCTCAGGCAGTATTGTTAGCTGCCTCCTTGCACGTGGAGGAGGGAGGCTATGGATGCCTGATTGAGGGGATTCCAGTCTTTAATTAATACAAAAGCGAGAGCTTTGGAAGGTGAGGCTAACTTGGTTAGAGCATCATTCCATTAAGGTGCAAGTTCTATTCCCAGTCGGAGTACATTCCCAGGTTGCAGGTTTGGTCCCCATCTGGCATACACAAAAAAAACCACCATTCCATGTTTCTCTCCCACTCTCTCTCCCTCCTGTTTCCTCTTTCTAAAATCAATTAACATGTCCTTAAGTGAATATAAAAAAAGAGAAAATAACAAAGGGTCCAGTGGTAAATGGACTGGGAATGTTTCATCAGGACAAGTCCTACTTATCCCAATGGGAACAACAGACAGGAAGTGGGTCTGTGGGACAAGACAAGGCCCTCACTACAAACAGAAGGTCTGAGGTCAAGGTAGAGCTTGTTGCTGAGTTCAGAGCGCTGGACTAACCTTCTCTAGGTTCCTCCTCCTACATTTAAGATGCTTTTAGAGGCTAAGATGATGGTGAGTGAGCAAGAAATAGTAAATCAGACAGAACTATGGGGAGAACAGTTATACAGACTGGGCACAGGCAAAGACCAAATTAAGAATTTGTTTAGATAGAATTAATATTGGAACTGAGAATTTAAGATACAAACATTTTTCTATTCCCAGGATTTATCTCATCAATTCTTCCCCCAATCTTACATCGCCCATTCTAAGCTGCAGTAGGTATGGATTCCCTTGATTCCATGGGAACACAGAAAAAGAAGACCACTCTGGCTTATATTTTTAACCTCACGTTACATACTGCTATCATGAAAGCTGGTGTTCTGAGAGGCATGAAGCTTAGGGGGAAGACCTTCAATAAAACTTTTAAGTTTCAGCCACATCTTTGCACTGCCACACTCCTCACAATTTCCTCTCAGACAAGCGCCATAACCCACCTTCAAAAATCTCTTATGTCACTACAGGAAAAGTAGGCCTGTAAAAGAAAAATGTCTATTTGCAGATTCCATCTATGAGCTACCATCTTGTGGGCCCTTGGCATCTTGTATCACAAACTCCCTACACATGGCACTAAAGAGTGCTGAGGCAGATTGATCTAGGTACCTCTAAAGGCTTACCATAAAAAAAATAATTAGATCCATATATTTCTTCCCCAAAAGCAATTTCATCCACAAACAGGGTGAGACAAATGTAGGTTTCTCACTGTGAGTATGAAACAGAGTTAATTCCTATATTATTATTTATTAATTATTGTATTGTTTTCCAAATGAACAACTGTATACCTTCTTTGGCCCCACCCTGTGTAGGTCATTAGCATCTCAGCCCTCACTCACGGTCACAAGAGTGCTTAGTGTGAGCACCACTAACCAGGGCAAGAAAAACAGAGGCAGCCCAGGCCAAGGTGGGCTGATTGCACACATCTCTCCCTCAGGCTTGGCGCACAGTGTAACTCACCACAGTGCCTTTCTCATAGACCTATTTTTAGGTGTCTCCACAATGTCCATCAGGACAACTTGGTTCATGATGCTTCTAAGTAAAGTCATCAGGAGAAAAACATGCAATATGTCTTACAATGATAGAATCTTCAAAAATTTCACAAGGAAGGAACACGTGGACAAAAGCAGAGCACTGATACAGGGCATGGATGTGGTCTACATTCTACAAACATACTAATGAATGTAAAAAAAGAACTTTGTTTTATTACATAAAATAAAGTTTATGTTTATTACATAAAACAAAGTGGGAAATACATTTAAGATTATTCTGTCTACTGAACAGAGTCCCTGGCACTTTCTGCAGTACCTAGAACACACATTCTGTTCATGCAAAATGAGGCCCCAGCATGTCAACACATTTCTCTGTGAAAGAAACCAAATAATCCACATGAATGCCCTTTTCCTGTGCACTTTCACCTTGCCTCTTCCCTGTTCTCCATGAACAGCCTTGACTTTCTCTAACCATTATCCATTTCTGCCTGGCCTTGCACCCAATCATGGCAGACAGGGAACCCTAGAGCCCCAAAATTCTACAGTGGCTGTTTGTGAGGGGGAGGAGACTAGAGTAACTGCCACACTGGGCACACTTTATGTGAGAAGGAAAAAAGGAGAATACCGTGAATGCCTGCTTGTCCTGTATAAAAGAACAGGATGGCAGCATTGCTTCATGGGCCATGGAGCCACAGGTGGCAAATTCTGGTTGAGAGAACTGCATCCAAAGGCTGAGAGTGTCAAGGTCTGCAAGGAGCTCACTCCTAGTGCTTTAGCATTTGCTCGTAAGGGGCAGGGTCCATTTGGGGAAGCCTCAGACACTGAGGGGAAGAACCAGCTGCTCACAGGAGACAGCATATAACATCCAAGAGTGAGAATGCAAGATCAAGGCTCATCTCAGAGCAATGCGGAGAATGGAGAAGAAAAAGCAACGGAGAGCAGGAGAGAGATGCAAGGCCAGTCTGGCTGTGCCCAGCAGAGCCCAAGGAAGGTAGGATTCAAAGAGAAGGAACTTAGAGTGGGAAGCCTTGGACCGTATCACTCTTCACAATATGCATTCAACAAACTTCATTTTACTCTTTAGCCAAGTTACAGAAAAGAGCTCCGTAATCCTTTTGTCTGCTCCTCCAAAGCTGCAGTAAATTCACTAATCAGATGGTCTCATGAAATCTCAGAAAACTGTAGTTGTGCAACCAATAGGTCCCTTTCATTCTTCCTACGGGTATTAATGATTATATATATATATATATATATATATATATATATATATATGTGTGTGTGTGTGTGTGTTATACAATAAAATATAGAGAATATGTTACTACTATTTATTTGTATTAATGAATGTCTATAAGAAACATTGAGCTGATTCTTTTCCTAACGTAACAGCATGGGGAAAGTGAGACTATCACATCCACCTTGTGGACCAGCACATCAGTCCTCGAGCTTAGCCATTTAGGGGTTGGTTTCCCTCTCCTACCA